TCACCTGGGGGAACTTCTCACTTGCAGATTCCGAGGTGCCTCCCAGATCTACGGATTCAATCTAGGAGGATGGTCCACACCAGTTTTGTTATTTGATTTTTGGAACTAGCTCCAATTCTGCTGCCCACCATTTCTCTCCCACTCTCCTGCTCCCACCTTTAAACAAACTCTCTGTGGTGGTGGGCGTGGGGGACCCAGATTTGTAACACCTGCTGATTTCTGGGGGGTCAATACGCCCACCAGGCCCAATTCAAGCCACCAACACAAATTGACAATTTAGGGGCACCTGGGTGGCTCAGTCGTCAAGCATCTGCCTTCAGCTCAGGTCATGATCGGGCTCCCTGCTCGGCGGGAAGCCTGCTTCTCCCTCTCCCACACCCCTGCTTGTGTTCCCTATCTCGCTGTGTCTCTCTCTGTCAAATAAATAAATAAAATCTTTAAAAAAAATTAACAATTTGACTTGCAAAATTCCTGAATAGTTAACAATGGACTCTCACAGGCCATCTTAAGAGCCAGCTCCAACATAACCAATGGCCCACACTTCCTCTCCCCACTGGTTAAGAAACACTACATTCCAGGAAAATAGAGCAGTTCATGACCTGCTCTAACGTCAAGTAGAACACCATTAATAGTTTGTATTGTAATAAAGTTAATTGCTGGGGCACCTGGGTGGCTCAGTGGGTTAAGCCTCTGCCTTCGGCTCAGATCATGATCCCAGGGTCCTGGGATTGAGTCCCATGCATTGGGCTCCCTGCTCAGCGGGGAGTCTGCTTCTCCCTCTCCCTCTGCAGCTCCCCCTGCCTGTGTTCTGTCTGTCAAATAAATAAATAAAATCTTCTAAAAAAAACCTTATGCAGAAAACTCTTAGAGCAAACTTAGTAATAACCACTAGGGGAAAAGTGATCAGGCTGCCCAGACAGGCCCAGTGAGGATGACGGGCCACTCGTTGTGTCTAAAGAGTAGAATTTCACCACGTGATGTCACCCTGGTACTTGCTTATTTATGTCTCTGGCAATCTCAGGCAGCAGAAGTCTCTCCCTCACTAAAAGATAGGCATTCTTAACTTTTGCACCTCAAGTTGATTATGAAATTACATCGTATTTGTTGTTCACTTGTGTATATGAAGAGCAGGTCATAAACAGTTTTTATGTCATTTTTTTTTCTTGGTTAAAGAAATCGATAATTTGCAGGAAGGTTAGGAGACAAGGCAAGGAGGCATTTTGGAATCACAGTACCTTGATTTAGCAAAAGATTGATTTACCAGGCAGGTGAACTTGGACAGGATTTTGTAACCTCTCCAGGCCCTATGGGGGGAAATACTTGTAACTTCTACCTTGCAGGCTGGGAGTAAGTTACCTGGGTCGGTAGTCAAGTCCTGCGCTGGGCTTGCAGGAAGCTAAGATAAGGAAGTCGGAAGTTCCTGCCCTTAAGGAGCTCCACCTTTAACCTCAGGGACAAATATCTACGCCAGAGAATATAGGACACTGGCCAGTAGACACTCTTAGGTTTCTGCATTTCAACATTGTGTGTTACCTGACACTCTCTAAAATCTGGAGAGAAAGTCTTCATGTCTAGTAGCCCATTTGTTGGAAAATAAATGAAGTGTTGGTCTTAAAATTTCAGTTGTAAGAGCCCTCTCCAACCCCAGCCCCTCCTTCCCGCAAACTGCCCTGGAGGAATACCACTACCGAGAAGGACACTGAAGCCAAATGTTCCGTCCCAAGTGGCAAATGCGCAGGCTGAGTGCGTCGGCTCTCGGAAACAGAGGCCGCCGGTAGAGGGCGCTCCGGGCCCGGTCGCATTGTGAGCTCTCTTTGCCATCGGGGCACCCGGTGTCTGAGTTCGGTGCTCCCCGCTGGCTCAGCTTCAGGTTGGCTTCCTTCCTGGTAACAAACGTTGCCGCGGCGGTTCCAGGCCACACCAATCCCACGTCAAGCTTCCCAGCGAACGGCCCGTGACTCGGCTCGGGCACACCGAGTCACACGCTCACTCTAGCTAGGCAGATAGAGGGCGGCTCTGAGGGGCTTCGCCCCTGGTATCTGGAGAGGGAGCCAGCCCTGGGCCACAGGTGATGCCCACGCAGAAGATGGAAGTTGTGGGGAAGGGCTCAGGGGGAACTGGAGGCATCAGCTATCGGCTCCGCCTAGGGCATATTAGACCTGGGTGTGGCCACGCTTTCCAGGAAGAAACGAGGGGATGGATGCAGGTGGAGTTCATGACCTGCTCTTCATATACACTCCTCTTCCCGGTACTAGCACCGCTTTCACAGAGTGAGCTCTTCAGTTTCTTGCCTGAGAAATTCCCACCTGGAGGCTGACCATTCTGCTCAGCCCCTACCTGCGGCGCATGGGAGGGGGACTGTGCTCTCAGGGACCAGCCGTTACCGTCCCCTCCCCTGTCCCGTTTTGTCTCACATGCTTCACTCGTAGATCCTCCCCTACTTGGCACTTCCAAGTCCCCAAACTCCTGCAGGACAGGAAGACACCTTTACCCACCAGGAGCACCTTGCAAGCTTCAGGCGCCAAACTTCCTGCCCTGCATCCACTTTCCTTCTTGCAGAATCAGGCAGAAATCTCGGGCCTCCTGCAATCCCTCTTCCGACCTCATTTGCAGTGGGATGAAACATCGGTGTCTTCTACTATCACTTTAACGTAGTCCTAGGAGGGAGAGGAGACAAGCGCACGTTTGGTTGGCCATTTTAAGTGGGAAATCACTGACCTGTAGTTTTCTGCCAAAATTAAATCTCCTGTTGTGTCTGTGATGGGCTTGGATAAATTCATGTCAAGGATGAAGTGTCTCTACAGCCTCTGCCGTTAGCGAGGAGAGGACCAGGCAAGGAGGGCAGTGTGGAGAGGGAAGTTGCTGAGGATGTGGGGAGCGAGGAAGAGATGGGGAGCGAGGAAGAGGCATGGCTTTTGGAGATCTCCAAGACCAACATGTGGAAGAGGGTTTCTGTGCAGCCCTAGCGTACTGCCTGTGATTTGGGGCACGTCACTTTCCTCTGTTTCCCTGTCTGTAGCTGATCAGGATTTTAGGATTAGTATTTATCAAAGGTTCTTGGAGTGCGAGCAATAGAGAAGAATGCTGGCTAATTAAGCAAAAGATGCTGCAGCAGCAGGTACGTGTGAAGAGATCAGGGTGGGAGAAACTGGGGCAACCTGAGCCTGTGAGCCCCACTGAAAGAATCCGCCGCATTCAGGAAAACATGCATACACTGTGCCGGCCAAATGCAACGTGCCTCCTGGCACCATCAACCTGCAGCCCCTAGTCTGCAACCCCCTCCCTCCCCCCAGGAAAGAGCGCAGGTCCCTGCCTAGCCCCACGGGGACTCCAACCCCGGGCTAGAAACCCAGTTCTGGGCGATGGGGAAGGACTTAATGGCCAGGCATTGGGCAATGAAAGACCGCGGCTGATTCTTTGGCAAGCCCGCGGCCTCCAGCACGGGCCTAGGACAGACGCAGCCTCGCCGGGTGCCCCAAATCAGGACTCCTGAGGTAGGAGGTGGCTCAGGACCATTCAGTAGCCCATCAGATCCCACAGCTCACCAGTGTCTGACCCGGCAAACACTTGGCCATGGGCTCCATCAGCAGAGGGGCGGCTGGGCAAAGAGGCGGGAGCCGCCCTCCTCTAGGCAGACGGTCATCCCTGAGCTGCAATCTCACAGGACTCACCAGCTTCTCCCTTAGCCCTGAAGCCACCAAGTGGCCACCACGCCCAGCACTTCTCTATTTACAGCTTTCCATTACCACCTCCATCTTCCCACCCCCAGAAACACAGCTCCGGACTCCTCTCCTTACCAACATGGGTGACCACCGAATCCCCCACTAGCTGTGTGTGATCCCAAGGGAGGGGCCACATTCTGGTCATGGCTGCTACCCAGTAAGAACCACTGCTATAGACTGAATGTTTGTCCCACCCGCAACCCCTACCGGTCCCCTTGGTCAAGTCATATGTTGAAAACCTAATGCCCTAGGTAATGGTATGAGGTGGGGCTTTTGAGAAGTGACTGGGTCATTAGGGCAGCCCTCATGAATGGGATTAGTGCCTCTATAAAAGGCCTCAGTTCCCTATCCCTTCCGCCCTGTGAGAACACAGCACTGTGCGGGCAATCTGCAACCCAGAAGAGGTCTTTCACCAGAACCCAGCCATGCTAGCAACCTGATCTTGGACTCCCCCAGCCTCCAGAAATAAATTTCTGTTGTTTAGAAGCCACCTGGTCTGTGGTCTTTTGTTACAGCAGCCCACCCCTTAAAGCAACCATGTTTTCGCTTCTGGAAATAACCATAGCCTGGCTCAGACTTGGGCTCAACGACTGACATAGGCCCCTCCCTCCGGGTCCTCCAGTTCCCCGTGTCTACAGCAGGGAGAGAATCACGTGATTTCCAAAGGGCTTTCCGGTTTCCTCTGGCCTCCTCCGGACTCGGTGGCTTGGCTTTGCCAGTGCAGAAACAGCCGTCTGGGCCAGGGTTGGAAGGGGCAGGGCCCAGAAGAGGCAGAAATGGCTGCTCACAATCAGAGGACACACACGCACGGGCTACACCTTTGAAAAGGGCGGGTTGTGGGGGGGAAGGCGGTTAGTGAGCGCGCCTCGGGAGATCCAGCAAGGAGCCTCTGTGGGCAGCAGTGGGAAGATGTGGGACCACCAGGGCAAGAAACAGGAGTCTGGCCCCTGGCTAAGCCGCCCACCACCACTTAACTACGGGTCGCAAGCTAGTCCCTTCACAGGAGCCTTCGTTTGCCTCTTGGTCCGCGCGCGAGCAAGCGATCTGCCTGCTGAGCTGGGTTTCGAGCTCGGGGGAGCTAACAGCACTCTGGGTCCTGGGATGTCACCCTCACGGTGGGGGCTGAGCCACAGCGCACACTCCCCAGCCCTCCTGGTACTGCTGACTCAGCAGAGCAAAAGGGGCTGAGATGGCTCAGCTCAAATCCCCGTCCCCGACCGCCCCCCTCCCAACCCCCGCTGCTGGACGAGAGCAAGAAATCCAGACTAGACCAGAACGACTGCACGTGAAGGTTTAATGGGAACTTCTGTGCATGTGTAGAGCGGTCGCAGGCCGCCTGCCCACCAGGCCCTGCCTGTCAGGGCCCCGCCGCTCAACACTTGCCATAGACAGCGGCACTGCCCCGCTCCTCGAACTCTTCCTTGCTGACCCAGAGCTGCTGGAAGGCCTGCAGGGAGGCCAGGATGGAGCCGCCGGTCCACACGGAGGTCTTCCGCTCCGGAGCAGCAGACACCGCAGGACTGGCCCCGGGGCAGAGGAGGTTCAGCTCCCTCTGGAAGCGCTCGGGGAAGCCATCCAGCATGGTACAGCCACCGCACAGCAGCACGTTGGCCGCCATCTCCTCCTTGAAGCCCGCCTCTTGGCAGCGCTCCAGGCAGGCAGCCGTGAGCGTGGGGAGGCCGGGCTGGTTGCTGCCCACTAGGGCAGGTTTGAAGAGCATCTCGGCGCACTGGAAGCGCTCCCGGCCAATAGTGATGAGCTTGCCGTCGGGGAGCTCGTAGTCCACGCGCATCTCCTCCAGGCACAGGCCGAGCTCCTGCTCGGGCAGGAGTGCCGAGTAGCAGCACTTCTTCTTAATGTGCTCGATGATGTGCAGGTGGTCGTCCGTGAACTTGTGGCCGGCCTCGTTGAGCAGCTGCAGCAGGTAGTTGGTGAGGTCGCTCCCAGCGTAGTCGGCTCGGCCTGTCAGGCCCGGCAGCACGTCGCCCTCCGAGATGGGCACCACATGCGAGACGCCGTGTCCGCTCTCCACCACCAGGCCCGAGGTCTTGCCGTAGGAGTAGATGGACAGCAGCGACTGGGACGTCACATGCATGGCAGGGATGCCAAAGGTCTCAAACATGAGCTCCGCGTACTTCTCCCTGTTACTGCTGGGGCTGAGGGGGGGGTCAGAGACCAGCACCGCATGCTCCTCGGGGAGGATCTTCATGGCCGTGTGGAAGACGTACTCCCAGATGCTCTGGACGCAGTCCCAGTCCACCACGATGCCGTATTTGAGCGGGTTCATCAGCTTCAGGGGTGCCTCCATGTTGAGCAGCTCGTGGCCCACGTAGGTCTCCTTGCGGGTGTCACCAGCATCAGTCGCCTCAGAGTAGCGCCTGCCCACAGTGGAGGAGATGAAGTAGGTGGGCCTCGGCTCGCCCGCATAGCCACACTTACAGTACTGGGAGCCCAGGTCGATGATGAGGGCCTTGATCTTGCGCACCTTCTTGGGCTTCATCTTCAGCTGAGTGGCCGAACCCGTGTCCCGGATGCCAGCATCGGGACCTGGCAGTGTTCCTGCCTCTCCAGGGTCACCCTGAGCCATGCCCAGGGGCATGGGGCTAGGGCTGCTCCTCATTGCCATCTTCCTTCTTGGCTCACCTTTCTCACATCCACATCCTAGAGCTCCGTGGGGAGAAATAAGACGGTCCACCTCCAGCAGTGCCTTGGCAACCCCTCAGGATTGTGATGTCACTGACGTCCGGTCCATTCTGGCAGCCCCGGGGAGGGCTTGGCCTTGGCAGGCCCTTGGTCTGCCACCCCCACCGCCATCCACCTAATTCGACTTTGCTCCAAGACAGAGCAGCATTTTCAGAGATCCAAGCACACTGGGGTCTCGGGTTTCCAGCTACCCGCCCCCCTTATACCCCTGCTTCTATTGCCCTGTCCGCTGACCAAACAGCTTTTCTTCCTCTGCTGCTTGGCTGAGAGGGTGAGAAATATTTAAGCCCCTACAGGAAGCCAGGCACTGTACTGGGAACCTCACATATGTTACTCCCCAGAATCCTGAGACGTATAGGCAGAGCGGAGGAAATTAAGGCTTGGAATTCAGATGATTTGCTCAGGAGCAAACAGCTCTTGAAATGTTTGTCTTTTCACTCAAGTTCATTCAACTCCAGTGCACCAGGTCTTCGAGCGTGAGGGCTCCAACAATACCCTCATCCCTTCATTCAACATTTCCTGGGGCTGGTGGCAGGTCCAGCCCAGGGCAGCTGGCCAGTGATAGATGCCAGAAGCCTGGCCACAGCAGTGTCCTGCCTGGGTGGGAAGGAGACCGAATGGATGCAGACGAATTTGTAGGTGGAAGGCTATTGGGAGAACAAAGGTGCATGAGGAAGGAGTGATTACTAGAGGGAAGGAGCCAGCAGGTTCTTTTTTTTTTTTTTTAAAGGAGTCAGCAGGTTCTTGAGAGGTGACCCTAAGGCAACAACTAAAGGGTATGTGGGTATTTGTCAAGTGGCTAGGAGGGGAAGGCATCCCAAGCAGAGAGCATAGCCTGAGCAAAGCTGGGGTTGGGGGGGGGGTGGGTAGAGAATGGTGGGAACTTCTAGTAGTTAAATGTTTGGGAGAATAGATGAGGCTAGAGAGTTCCTGGAGCCAACAAGGGAGGGCCTCAAAAGCTCGGAGGAAGAGCTTGGGTTACATGGAAGACAGCTGGGGAACAAATGAAGACTTTTAAGCAGGGGGTGGTCAGATCTGCCCGCTGGAAAATTGGGAAAAGATCTGTGTTTAGCTGTGATGTAGAGGGGCAAAGACGCGGAAGACATTCTTGTAAGACGTGCAGGTGACCTAAGCCAGGCTGTGCCGGTGTGAAAGAGGAGGAACAGGTTCTCCCCAAGCTCAGAAGGTAGAGCTTGGTTGGTCCCCCAACCCCCCCCATTCAACCAAGCTCCTACTCTAGCAGTCAAGGCCTTCTCTCATGGCTCCTGCGACATCTCTCACCTCAAACACTGCATTTACATCAGGTGGCCAGACTAGCTGTGGAGAGTGAGGGAGAGGGAAGGATGAATCCCTCCCCTCCGCCAAAAAAAAGATGGCCTGTCGTCCAGAACAGGCCCATTCATTAGGTTTCCATAGGGCCCTCCACCCCAAACCATCCTCCCTCAAAAAACAAAAACAAAAAAACCGCCAGGTGATGCATAAGAAACCCTGTATTCTGGCATCTTCCTCACTAGATTCTCTTTCTGCTAAAATTACATAGGGGCCTGGTTCACCTTTCTTTCAAAAATCAAGGGTGGGTGGTGTTTGAGCAATAGAGGGCGCCTCTAACCTGGAAGGACCTCACCAGAGACCCCAGGGAGCCCACGAGTACCTGAGATGGCTAGTGACAAGTATGGGGGCTTGTGCATGCCAGGCACTGAAGGTTTGGGGTGCAGTGTGCCAATGGTCTCCGTAATCTCCATCATCGATACCATTAACTGTGTCCTGACCCCCGAGAGGAGAGAAGGAACACAGAGGACACGGAAGCTGAGGGAAAAGGGCTTCACTTACAAGACAGCATCCAAGCATGCAAAATCCTGAGGTAAAGTAAAAGGAGTAAAAAGCATCCAGTGACTTTAGCCTGAAGGAGGTGGGTTGGACCGAGAGTCCCTGTGCTCTTGGGCCTTACAGACGAGATGGAGCCACGGGCTTTTAAGCCCGCAGAGCACCTCTCCCACCCACACTGACAGAAAGGGCCAAGGAGGGGTGAGCCTGGTGGGGTGGGGGGAGCACGTGAAACACAGTGTCTTAGGGAAGTGGGAAGCACAGGGTAAGGGACAGGGTGAATAATGGCCCCCAAAAGATGTCCACATCTTTAATCCCTGGAATCTGTCAATGTTACCTTTCATGGCAAAAGGGACTTGGCAGATAGGAGTTAAGGAGTTTGAGATAGGGAGGTTACCCTACATTATCTGGGTGGTCCTGAAGTAATCATCAGGGTCTTAATAAGAGGGGAAGAGGAGGGTGAGGTCAGAGAAGAGGACAACAGAAGCAGAAGCCTAACAGATCTTTGAAGATGAAGGGGCCCCGAGCCAAGGAATGTAGGTGGCCTCTAGGGAGCTGGAAAAGGCTAAAGATGATCGCCTAGAGCCTTGGGAAGGAACGTGGCCCTGCCAATAGCTTGATTGTAGCTGAGAATGACTGTAGATTTCTGACCTCCAGAGGTGTAGATAATAAATCTGTGTTTGAAGCCACTGAGTATGTGGTAATTTGCTACAGCGGCCACAGGAAAGGAGCATGGGCTCTTACAGGAATCCAGGGCAATGAAAATGTGCTAGGCAGCTGCACATCTGTCCGAATTCAAGACGAGGATTGAGAAGGAAAAATAGGTCATTCTACATTAAATACACCTTTGGTTATCACACAAACATTCTTTTGAAGTGAAGTCAAACAATCCAAGTTGGCCATGCGAACCCCTACTGAACAGCAGAGGCAAGTACACAATTTTTTAGGTAGCCAGGCATAGAGAAAGTACTTTCTTCTTTCACAATTCAATGCCATCTCATCCTCTACCCATCGAACCAAGAAGCTGACACTGTCTTTGAGATGACATCAAATGGTCACGAGACTGGACTTGGTCCTTTTCTTCTCTCAACCCCCCCCAAGGAGCCAAGAGCCTCCCCAGTAACCTCCTTAAAGGAGAAAGCCCCCCCCCAACTTGGAGTAACTGTGTCTTTTATGACAAGTGTGGGACTGCCTAACAAAAAGTTGGCTTCTGGGTGCCTTGACAGTGACAGGTGTCAGCACTAATGCGCCTAGCTTCCGAGATGCCATGTGATATGATGGCCACGTGGCCTCAGAGACACATTTTGGGTCTCACTGAGGTATGTCCACACCTCACCCCTGGGAAGAAGTCTCAGTCGGGAGAGCTCGGCCCCTGCTGGCTGGATATGCACGGGTGAGCCATGCACCTAAGAACCTCAGTGTTGTCATCGGTGCGACTCCGTACGGTCTGATTCCATCGCCCACCCGATGACCTGCGTGAAGGAGTATGCATACACATATATGTCTAAAAATTCTTCTGTGGGCTGTCCGAAGGGACAAGGGAGACAGAAGTGCTTGGCACGGTCGCTCCAGCAGCAAGCAGTCCTGCCAAAATCTCAATCTGGTAGTGTCAGCTGTGCTCAAGTCTCCAGTGCTTTCTGACCTCGTCCAGAGTCAGAGCCAAAGTCCTAGCAATGGCCCAAGAGGATGGATGCGGGCTGCTTGCCGTCCCCACCCCCTTCTCCCACCTCCCGTAGTTTTCCTTGCTGTCCCCACTCAGCCTCTAACTCAAGGGCTGACAAACTTTTCCTTGAAAGGGCCTGATAATCAACACTGTCGGCGTGGCGGGCCGGGCACTCTTTGTGGCAATCACTCAACTCTGTGGTTGCCCCCCAGAAGCAGCCCCAGACAGTATGTCAGTGAGCATGGCTGTGTTCGGATAAAGGCCGATTTACAAAAACAGGCTGCAGACCCTGGTTTGCTGACCCCGCCTCTCACTCATCGGTCACAGGCGCGCCTCCACCGTCTGCACCTGCTGCTCCCGATATACATGACACACCGATACACGTGTGGCACTGTCCCTCCCCTCCTTCAGGTCTGCACGCGTCACCCTCTGAGGACCCCTGCCCAGGCACAGAACACGGCCACCGTCCCCAAGCCCCTTCCCTGCCTGTTCTCTCTTGCCCTTACCATTTTCTGACAGCTGTTTGTTCTGGCTACTGCCTCTCTCCCCAGCCCCCACTGACTAGAGTGTAAACTCTACAAGGGCAGAGATTTTTGTCTTTTTCCCTCCACAGCTGCCTTTTATTCCCAGCTGCCTTGCACGTAGCAAGCGCTCAATAAGTAACTGATTGGTTAAATCAGGTTTATTACAAAATCCAGAAAAAGGTTAAGTGACTTCCAAAACACTACCCCAAATCCACCCTAACATGGGACACGGGTTCCCAGTATCTAAAAAGCCCCGGGTCACCAGATTATGTCACAATCAGTGATGTCATCATTGGGGAAATTCTCAAGTTGCCCTCTGACATAAGCCTTTCAGGTGTTGAAGCCGGTGGGATCGAGGAACTTTCTGAGAGCAAGATGGCTCTTGATAGCATGTGGGCTCCCCAGGCATCAATCATCGGGGATGGGCCTGCCAAGAAAGTGGGTGAACAGGTACCTCTACAGGCACACGTCCTCCAGACTGCCTCCTTAAAAGAGGGGCCAGCGAAGCGGGCAGTGTGGGTCCACTGTAACCGTTCAGAGCCAGAAGAACCTACTAAATCAACGATGGTCAAGGAGAAACCCAAGCTACAGGTGACCCAAGCAGTGGTCGTGGACCTTGGCACTGGCTCCTGCAAATGTGGCTTTGCCGGGCTACCGAAGCCCACCCATACCATCTCATCAACAGTGGGCAAGCCCTACATGGAGACGGCCAAAACCGGGGACAATCGCAAGGAGACATTTGTGGGGCAGGAGCTCATCAACCCAGCGGTTCGTCTCAAGCTAATTAATCCTCTGCGACATGGCATCATCGTGGACTGGGACACAGTGCAGGATATCTGGGAATATCTCTTCCATCAAGAGATGAAGATCGCCCCAGAGGAGCACGCAGTCTTGGTTTCAGACCCACCCCTGAGCCCACACACCAACAGAGAGAAGTATGCTGAAATGCTGTTTGAAACCTTCAGCA